GGGTCTGGAATATCTCCAGAGAAGGAGACTCCACAGCCCCTCTGGGCAGCCTGGGCCAGGGCTCCGTCACCCTCAGAGGGAAGAAGTTCTTCCTCGGGTTCAGCTGGAACTTCCCAGGCTTCAGTTTGTGCCCGTTGCCCCTTGTCCTGTCGCTGGGCACCACTGGAAAGAGTCTGGCCCCATCAACGGGGACGTGGGACTGGGACGGTCACGGCACCATGAACACCACACCAAGGGGACTGTTTCAATTTTCTGGAAGAAGGGGATTGAAACCAAGCACTTTGCTGCTGTTTCTCCATGGAATTGTGCAGCTCTGGTCAGAAAGGAGCTGCCACCCACCGCGCTCCTCCCCCTGCGTTCGCAGCTCTCCGGGGCTGCCATGGTTACCTCCGCGGGGCTGACCCAGCCCAAAGAAACGCGACTTATTTTTCTCCCTCTGTGTAGAACGAACAAGCGCTTATTTTTCCTAGTTTAATTAAGATTTTTCATTAAAGAATCCCCCTCCCAGTACGTTTATTTTTCCAGCAGGCACAACATTTCTCTTTATAAGAAAGGAATCAGTTTTCAGATGCGGGACCGGAGCAGCAGGAAGGTTTCCTGCCCAAAATAAGAAGAAAAAAGTGAAAACTTTTAAACTGATTTTTTTTCTCCCACAGGAGAGTGGGAAAGCCTTTGGAAAGCCATTAGCCACCAGGTGACCTGATAAAACATCAGCACGGCTGCTTCTGGTGGGTGTCAGAGCTTTGCACCTCAAAGAAGGATTTTTGGTGTGACAGCTCCATCAGTTGCCTTTCAGCAGCGAACCAGGCTAAAAACAAACTGTTGAGCTTGAGGACACCGCAGATCCTGTTAGTGAGCACCGCAGCCCACTCCCCGACCCCGAATTAATGTCCTTCCAACCACGGCGCTTTAAAGACGACTTCTGCCGCAGCAGCTCTCGGCGGGAAGTCCCACGGCAGCCTGAGCAGGAGGACGGTACGAGTTCGGTCTCACGTCAGGGGAACGCGAGGCTCCACGCCAGGGATGCGTCCCTCAGAGGCAGGACCACACCACGTTCTGCTGCCTTACCCAGCGATTTCATAGAATCGTAGAATCGTTAAGGTTGGAAAAGACCTCTAAGATCATCAGGTCCAACTGTCAACCCAACACCCCCATGCCTGCTAAACCATGTCCTGAAGTGCCACATCCACATGGTTTTTGAGCCCCTCCAGAGATGGGGACTCCCCCACTGCCCTGGGCAGCCTGGTCCAAGGCCTGACCACTCTTCCAGTGAAGAAATTTTTCCTGATATCCAATCTAAACCTCCCCTGACGCAACTCAAGGCCATTGCCTCTCATCCCATCACTGGTTACTTGGGGGAAGAGACAAGCCACGGGGAGCTCAGGGCATCGGGGTTTATTTGTCTACACCCGTGGAGCAGCTCTGGTGGCCGATGCAGCCTGTCCCACTCCTTGCATTCACGTATTTCTTCAACACCTTGAGGCGGGTGAAGCCTCTCTGTCCAACCTGCCTGCCTGGGCATCGAGGCAGTGCTGGAGGAGGGCGTCAGGAGGTGTTCCTCTCCCCACGGGCAGGGCTGCTTGGGCTGCATAACTTCAGCGACGCTCTCTCGCCTTCCTGCCCTCACAGCCCTGCAGTCAGAGCAACGCAGAGCTCAAGTAAATCTTTTGTCGTCAGCGAATCCGCAGCCCTGTCCTTGCAGGGCTCCGTGTCGTGTAACCACCTCAATGTCACAGAAATGTCCCCATGTTCCTCGGCACCCAGCCAGTTCAGCTCTCGGGTTCTGGCTTAAGGGAATCCTCTTGACTACAGGTAGCTACAAGCTGACCCCAACCCAGGTCTTCTTAGAATCATCGACTCACAGACTGGTTTGGGCGGGAAGGGACCTTCCCAGAACATCCAGTCCAACCCCCTGCCATGGGCAGGGACATCTCCAACCAGATCAGGGTGCTCAGAGCCCTGTCCAACCTGGCCTGGAATGGTTCCAGGGATGGGGCATCTCCCACCTCTGGGCAACCTGGGCCAGGGTCTCACCACCCTCAGCGTAACAAATTTCTTCCTTAGATCTCGTCTGAATCTCACCTATTTTGGCTTACAACCATTACCCTTTGTCCTGGCACAACAAGCCCTACTAGAAAGCCTGTCCCCAGCTTTCTCAGAAGCCCCCTTTAAGTTCTGAAAGGCTGCAGTAAGGTCTCCCCAGAGTCTTCTCTTCCCCAGGCTGAACAGCCCCAGCTCTCCCAGCTGTTTGTCACAGCAGAGGGGCTCCAACCCTGGAATCATTGCTGGGGCCCCCATTTTTGTGGTCTTGACTCTTCGTAGATGGGTTTTAATGCTTCTCGCTCCTTGGGTCATGGGACTGAGCACCCATTTGCAGCCGGGAGCCGCAGCTCTGCCCAAACCCATGCGGCCCCCAACAGCAGCTTGGGGAAGAGTCACGGGCCAGAGCCCACACCGACCCAAGGGCTTGGTGGAGCCAAGGTGGGAAGGTCAGCCCTG